TCTTGTGAGTTGAGTATGCTGACCATTATAGCACAGGTCATCTATCTATATATATATATATATATATATATATATATATATATATATATATATATATATATATATATATATATATATATATATATATATATATATATATATATATATATATATATATATATATATATATATATATATATATATATATATGTATATATATATATATATATATATATATATATATATATATATATATATATATATATATATATATACACACATCTATCTATCTATCTATCTATCTATCTATCTGTCTATCTATCTATCTATCTATCTATCTCTATCTATCTATCTATCTATCTCTGTCTCTATCTCTATATATCTCTATCTATCTATCTGTCTATCTATCTATCTATCTATCTATCTATCTATCTATCTATCTATCTATCTATCTATCTATCTATCTATCTGTCTATCTATCTATCTATATATATATATATATATATATATATATATATATATATATATATATATATATATATATATATATATATATATATATATATATATATATATATATATATATATATAACTTAATCATAAAAATTTTAAAAGTAAGTCACAAGAATAATACCCCCTCCTTTCACCACAAAATCCTTTTCCATGGGATTAAATATTTGTTTGCACTCTGTACTGCTATCATTATTTGACCAGCAGTAGTCTTTTAGACATCAGGTACCCATGACATTATGGTAAGCCTCCAGATAGAGTAACATGGTAGGTAGGGTTGCCATGTAAATAAGTTTTAAAAAGTACTGTACTATATGGATAAAGGACAAAAGGAGATTCTTTTTGGAGAGAGGGCACCAAATGTTTTGCTCCCTCACTACACTATTGCATTTTATGACAAACTCAAAATACAGAATCTTATTTAAAACAAAAATATTACACAAACTTAATTGTTAAACACTGCATTCTATGTTCTTTATATCACACTCTCATCATGGTAAATGGATGACGATTGCATCTTCAGCGATAATAATTCTCATTGAGGATCTGGTACCTTTCTCTTCATTAAAGTGCCTACTCTATGCACGAGCCTAATGCCAATATTAACACAAGCATGGAAAAGATCTAATAAGAACTTAAACAATTACTAATGCAATTATCTTTCAATATATGCTGTAAAGAAAGCTTTTTTCAACAACTAAACAATGTTATCAACACAGTTCAATAATTTAAGTATATTCCAAAGCAAATTTCTGTGCAAAATAAAATCACATTTCATGGTTCTGCTTATACTGCTGAACAGTAGAACATACAACAAATCTGTCTCTAATACTATTTCACGTTCATATATCTATATTCTCATGCACTCTTTTATATAACTAAGTGCAGTCTGTTTATCATACCCATTCTTAGATTCTGTCTTTTCAATTATGATAGAAGAACTAACCAGATTCAAATTTAAATTATAACTTGTTTACAATCACTGTTATCTATTTGGAATATTGCTGAAATATATCTTAATTATTGCTCCTCCCGCATTCCTCTAATTCTTGACTCTAGCATTTTTTACAAGTTGCTCCTCTACAGGTAGTTCTGCTATAACGCGATAATTGTGTTCTTGTAAAATATCGTGTTATAGAAAATCGCGTAATAGAAATAACAGGGCTTATGGAGAAAATAGGGTTAGGTGCAGATTACTCGAAATCGAAAAAATTTAGTAGTTAGCCTAACACAAAGGATAGCACAGTCTAAATAAATGTTACAGTCATATCTAATAATGAAATCATACAGTAAATTTAACACTTTACCTTGAAAAAATATGAATGTAACTTGATGGGGAGAAGGGTGATTTTGAGGTTGATAACATCAAGCTTCTCTTCAAGTGTTATATCCTTTCTTTTACGATAATCACCGGGAATTCTATCATCAGAATGCTTTTTGGAGATATTCTTCTTTACCATATTCACAGTTAATACCACAAAATTGGAGAAATAGTAAGCAAAAATCGCGTTATAGCAAACAAGCGATCGCGTTATACAAATATTGTTCCGAATTCATAAATCGCGTTAGAGCAAATTCGCGTTATCAAAACACGCGTTATAGCAGAACTCACTGTACTTAAGAATGAGTTACGTTCCCGAGGCTTGTTCGTAAGTCCAATTGTTTTTCAAGTCCAACTTACTCTTGTAGATACCAAAGATATTGTAAAAAATGTGAAGATATTGGATGTTTAGTACAGCTATACCCTACAATGTGTCCTTAAAACCTGGCTCTCACTTCTCCTACTATGTGTAATGCCTGTTCTATCTGGAATTTTCTTCAAATTAATCCAGTCACAACCACAAACACCTGCTCTGGCAGGTAACCCCCCCTCAGTGATAATGACTGTATCTCTGAAAGTTTGTAAGTTGAATGTTCTTAAGTAGAGGAGCACCTGTAATACACGTATTACAAATGGGTGAAAAGTAGCATCAGGCGTATTGACTTATTCAATTTTGTTATGTAAAAATATACGAGTCATCTAGAATAGGAGTGATGAACTCGCCGCCACCCTCATATTTTTTTTTATTTCATAAAATGTTTTTCCTGGGTTTCCTGCCATAAATACAGTGTGTTTACGGTATATCCCACTCCCACCCTTCCCCACTGTGTGGAAACAAGGAAAAAAAATTCAGTGCAATTATATCAAAATCGGATCTGACACCGTTGTCCCAAATGCACGAGTTTTTTTTTTTTTCATTTTGATATAAGAAATTTGATTCTAATAGCAGCATCTTTTAAATGACCAAGTGATAATGCTTACTATAGTGTTGCAAAAAGGAAGCATGTTACCCTCACAATATTGCCGAAAGTGAATAATCAAAAAGAATTTATATAAGGGTGTCTATTTATTTCCTTCAAAAATAATATGGTATTAAAAATACTGTACAGCAATACAGTATATGATATCAGAGGGCAATGTGATTTTTTTTTATACTTACTGAAACTAATAAGGGTACAGTATTGTAAAGCAAAAATTATTTAAAAAAGCAGTGTCAGGACTTAAAACAAAGTACTAATCTATTCTTGGTTTAGCAACGACAAAGTGAATGAGTGCCCACCGTCTTCGCTGCTTCCCTCTGCATCCCGCACTTGTGTGGATAAGGAATATTCTTAGGTAAGTAAACACTGAGCAGTAAATGTTTATATTTGAATACATTAAAAAATATATATAATTCTATTCAAGCATCATTATTCACATCATTATTCACAAGAATTTTTTCTAATCAAGCATTACAATTCATAAAGTCAGTTACAAAAAACCTAATTTGCCTGGCAGTGTAGTAAAGTATTCTATCATTCATCTACATAACAGCTTACATTTCATAACACTGACTGTGATAATGAATATTTGTCCATGTTAAGATACCCTTATTGCAACACACATTTTACTATGGCACTATTTTATTTGTGCAGGAGTAAAACCCTAGCATTTACCCTGTATAAGGTTGTGTATAAACAGGTACT